TGCAAAACAAGAGCCACAACCAGTTGTGTGTGGAGAACCGGGTGACCAGGCAGGACATGTCCTCCATTTCAACTTTCTCTCCAGGTGGAATTCCAAAATGTCCTTCATTTTGAACAGGTCTACAAAGCACGCATTGACTTTGATAGGAGTGTTTTGAGCTTTTGTTTGGTCATGTCCTTAATTTTTTTTCCCTTTGAATGTCCTCCATTTTGTGGTGCCTTGTCCTCCTTTGCACTTAGAACATCTGGGTACAAAACACACTGCAGAAATAATCCAGTTTGAGACCACTTTAACTACTCAGGCTCAATGCTAGGGAATTCTGGGAACTGTAGGTTTTTTATGAGACATTTAGCATTCTCTGTCAGAGAGTTCTGGTGCTACAACAAACTACAGTTCCCAGGATTCCCTAGCACTAAGCCAGGACAGTTAAAGCGGTCTCAAACGGGATTATTTCTGAAGTGTGTTTTGGACCCACAACTCTGGAGAGCAGGGTTCTATTCCCCTCTGGGTCATGAAACCCATTGGAAGTCACACTCTCTCAGTCTCAGGGGAAGGCAATGGCAAACCCCCTCTGAAGGAACTTGCCAAGAAAAACTTCATATCATTTCAGACTTATGGTGACCCTAAAGTGCATCCTTCATAGGGTTTTCTTGGTCACCCTGCCTCTGGGGTTGAGAGAATGTGACTTGCCCCGAGAAAACTCGAACCCAGGTTTCCAGAGTCATAGTCCAGCACACAAACCACTGTGCCAGCCAAGCTGGGGAAACAAGCAGCCCTCTTCCCTTTCAAGTACAGGGATTGTAGGGAGTCCCCAAGGGATAGGGTGACCAGAAATCATCCTTTTCCAGGACATGTCCTCCATTTCCAGCTTCTGTCCAGAGAAATTCCAAAATGTTCTCCATTTTGAGCCTGACATAGAAACCGCTTTAACTGTCCTGGCTCAGTGCTAGGGAACCCTGAGAAGTGTAGTTTATTGTGGCACCAGAGCTCTCTGACAGAGAAGGCTCAATGACTCACAAAACTAGTTCCCAGAATTCCCGAGCATTCGGGCAGTTAAAAGTGGTCTCAAACTGGATTATTTCTACAATGTGTTTTGGACCCAAACCCTTTTCTACCTTTGCAGTCCAAAACACCTTACAGAAATAATCGTTTCAGACCACTTTAACTTTCCTTGCTCAGTCCTAGGGAATCCTGGGAACTGTAGTTTTGTGAGGCATTTAGCTTTCTCTATCAGAGAGCTCTGGTACCATAATAAACTACAGTTCCCAGGTTCCCTTGTACTGAGCCAGGGAAGTTAAAAGCGGTCTCGACCTGGATTATTTCTGCAAGGCGTTGTGGACCCAAGACACCTTTTCTTCCTTCTCAGTCCAGGACACACTACAGAAAATAATCCAATCTGAGACTGCTTTAACTGCCCTGGCTCAGTGCTAGGGAATCCTGGGAAGTGTAGTTTTGTGAGGCATTTGAGCCTTTTCTGTCAGAAACAGCTCTGGGTCCACAATAAAACTACAATTCCCAGGATTCCCTAGCGCTGAGCCAGGGCAGTTAAAGCGCTCTCGAAGTGGATTATTTCTGCAGTGTGTTTTGGATCGTACATTTAGACGAGTGTGTTTTTAACCTTGTATTTCTGCAAATGCCCTCCATTATTAGTACCACTATTATTATGAATTTCTTGGGTGCCCTCCCTTTCGAGGTGCCTTGTCCTCCTTGGCGGGGAGGAGGACAACATGGGGTCACCCTGGCGAGGGGCGACGGTCCCCCTCCGGCCTCCCTCCTTACCCTACCCTTCCCTCCTCTCCTCTCCTGCGGCCTACTCACCTGGGCGATGCCGGCGCCCATTAGGCCTCCGCCGATCACCGTCACATGCTTCACGACCAGCTTCTTGGCGGCTGAGGCGAAGGCCATGGCGAAGCAGAAGCAGAAGCAGAAGGAGAAGGAGAAGGAGACAGTGGCGGGGCCTGCGCTGAGGAGAGAAGGCCAGGCCTCCTTTCTCCCCAAGCTCGGCCCAGAGGAGGGCCAACCTGCGCCTCATGGAGGCCCCGCCTCAGGAACGAAAAGGCCTCCATGAGGCCTCTGCTCTGGGCCTAAGCAGACTGCCAGAAATAGTGCACGTTAAATTGAGGC